AAATTATCAGTTAACTCGGCTTCGGACTATTCGACATTCCAATACATAACAATATTAACATGATATTAATCGCGCTTTATAAAAATGATTTATATATATATATATGCTAACACAGTGGGGTGTCGCCACAGGTGCGAGTTGTAGCGCCACAAGCAGCATGTTTTCCTCCTACATATTTGATTCACGACAAATTTCTGATCACTTGACAGTGGAATGCCACCATGGAAAATTTATATCTAGAAGAATATATGGTATAGCCCTTCCTAGGAAGGATATGTGTATAGTGATATTGTTATACAATATGGTGCCAAAAGACAAAAACATATTTAAAAAGAGACCTTTCAGTGCTTCACAGACAGCAAGGGTCGCTGAAGTCATACTCAAAGCCAGAACAGAGCAACATCTTCATTCATAAGAAATCCTTATGACCAAAAGATCTGTTGTGTTGGATCTGAGTACATCTCTTGCTAGTGCAAGAGAATAAATAAGTATTTGAAGTTTTCATAGGTTCAAAACTCAAAAGTCTACAAACTTTCAGACACCAAACGAATACCTTAATAAGAAAAATGACACAAAAAACTGTAAACACAATAATTCCACTCGAACACACCCTGTTAAGTCTTCTGAGACAACTTCAACTGACATTTATGGCATTGCCTTCCTTAAACATGGTCTTGAAATCTAGCGTTTATTTACAGTAGTGATTCTTGAGAAAGTTTATCAAGATGTGGGGCTTAGTTTAACTTCGTCGTTCTTCAAAGAAGCTTGCTAAAATTAAAATTGCGTTGTCAAGAAACAGTGCCTAATCATGGCCATCAGAATGAGCATGATCAACAAAGGAGGAGGTAGTTACAGGGGCAATATACGTTCTAGAACATCGTTGTTATAAAGTGAAATTAACCGAATATATGGTTACATCTTTTTGTGTAAAATATAATAACCAGTTTAATCCATTCTCGTGGCTTTTTTTTTTATCTTTTATTTTAATTTTAACACTCTTCAGTCAAAACAAGGTTAGTAAAGGAGTCTACTAAAGTATCAACAACACCGTTAACTCTTCTGAAATTTTAAATGATCGAGTTGTTTATTTTATTTATATTAATACTAAATATTTTAACATATTTTCTATAACTTAATTTTTTTCCCAAGTGATTACTATTAAAATGGTTTTTAGTTCCAAAGAATAATAATGGTATTACTAAATCGTCAGATAAAGGTAAAGACTAAAAGCAATAGTAGAAGAAAACCTGCACGTTGCGCCATCTATTATGAGATACGGAAGTATAAATGGAATTTAAACATTCTACGATTAATTCAAAACATAAAGTTCAGTTGATAGTAAATTTTAGCCCAGTTATTCAAAGTTTTAATTTGATGCTAAATACAAGGGAATGTTGTAAGTTACCTTAAAATTAGATGTGGATATTCACTCTTAAGTTTCTAACACATTCAATATATATATATATATAACTGAAGCTTAACGATTTCTTAATGTTTCAAAGAGAAAGCAAAAATAAGAAGTAAAGCAAAAATACTACGTTATACAATGGCAGATAACTTGTACTTATTTTTGTAACTAACTGTGTAAAATATACTATATAATAAATAACTACTTCAGTTTTGATAGTATTCTTTGTGCTGCCATCTATCGCTTGTCATGTCACATAATGGAATCGTTACTTGCAATAAAATTATATGTTTACCGATTAGGATGTTTTCAAAACATAAACAGAAATTACTTTAAAACACGTCTTTTCTTTTTTTAAATTGAAATATGTCATATTATTAAATTCTAAACATTAGCATTTGTAAATATTGTAAAAGCAACCAAACCTTAATTATAATCAGTAGTTAGTAAAATTTGAAAGGTTTTCAAATTATGTAAATTACAATCAAGTTAAAAAGTTTATTCCTTTACTTTTCTTGAACTATGAACAAAACTAAACAAGTTATGAAATTTAAAACTGTAAAATTTGAGAGCACTTTGATAGTTTCCCTCAAACTTATTTTCTTAATGATTTCTTAAAGTTATGCAAGTTTTTATGGGTATAAACCAAACTGTCCAGTGGAAAACAGTTCTGAATCCGCTGTTAGAACCTTGTCGTTCCATCCACAAGATGGCGTTGGTTTCATTCGTGGGAATCTCCCGATTGCAGTATGAAACGTCACAACAAGATATACAGTTCTAACGAAGAAAAAGGTAACGTTGTAGTCATGCGAAAACTTTGCCTAATAATAGCGATATAACTTATAACTAACTGAAGTGAGTCATAGAAGGAATAAACTGGTTTTACAAGCTAATGAACCATTACTGTTCTCAGCTTCAGATAACTTTATACAAATTTAAACCATTTATGTTACCATAAAGTAAAACAACTTAAAGAAGCACACGAACAGGTGATTATAAAATAATTCGTAAACGAATATTAAACAATTTTCTAGAATTGATACTTTAATGTAATATGTTATGAGAAATATGAGAATAATATGTTTTATTCTATTTTGATAGATTATACTGAAGAACCGTTTATTTTCCGTTAGATAACACTGAAAATGAAAATTTGTGGTAATTAATCTAAAATCAACATATTTTCTGAGGATGATACTAACTTAGTCCTTTCGTAGTATCTCGTAGACTACTCACAAAAACGGGAAAGACTATTTTTGAAAAGACTAACGCTTTTGCTCTGTTTCCTTAAAATCAAGCAAAAAGTATCTAGTTAATACAAATATTGAACAATAAACCTTTATATAATTGATATAGCTAACTAGACCTAACAGATATGAAATAAATCATGTTTGACTGGAAACATTTCTGACAACGTTCCTCTTCGTAGCTTCATTACGAATTCTTAAGCAGAAACGTTTGAAAATAACATATCAGATCTACTATTATCTACAATAAATCACTGTCTAGTAAATTTTTTATTGGATTCAGAATTTACGGAATGTGGGGAGAAAAAACATCTGAGGCCAAACGTGATTTTAATGTTATTTGTTAGGCCTAATGAGCTCTCTTGCTCTGCTACCTTACATGGTTTACACACTAAATTGTTATAGTGATTGCTTGAAGTAACTAATATATATTTATCAATTTCATTTTACTTCTAAAATTAGTTTTTAAAAACATGGCACATTTTACCTTTTTAATTGGATTATTTGTTGAAAAATAGCATCCAACAGTTTTGAGATTGCATTCCCTTCTGGTGGCACAACTTTTAGCCACTAGAACTGTTTCTCCATATTCATCCATGACGTGTTTAATGTAACAAAAACTTTGCTCTGGGAGAAAATAAAAGCAACAACAACATAAAATGCATTTGTAAGTGTTTTATAACACAAGTAATGTTTAAATTAAGTTTTACGGAGAACTATTTGAGAAATGCAATACAACCTATTCACAAACACAGAGGGTTGAGTCCGTTATATCAAACCGATTTTGAAAACAAAACTTAGTAAATTACGTGACAGACATAGCCGATATAAGTCTCAACAGAACGGCGTGTATCTGAATTAAATTTTGACATTGTTTAGCATTACGTAGGCAGTGTGATGCTAGCGAAAGTTGGTCGCTTTTTGGAAGGTATTTAACAGACCCTTCGGAAGCAAAATATTGATATATCCATGCCATAACGATGTTTTAAGATCAGATATTTAGAGTTTTCAAGATGAGAATATCCCTTGAACTTTAATAACATTGGAAAACAAAGGAATGTGGATCATCTTGAAACAGACCTACAATAAGACTTACCCCTGCTGTAGTAAGCTAGAGTGGCGTCTTATAACAGGTGAATAGACGCGAACTCAAAAGCCCTCACCGTGCTCCAGTAAGCAATATAATCAAGAAGGATTTCCCTCTCGAAAACGACACAAGTTGCGTGTACACAACTGTTGTCTTCCAACACATAATGCAAATCAGAAGGGAGAAGTGATGCACTTTGTACACGAAACAGCCTTATGCTGGAGCCTTTTACAATGGAAAATACGCTACAGGACTATTATTAAGATAGACTGTGGTAAAATAGAGCATGACCAGATGTAGTGATATGAGCCTTAACGACGTAGTCAGGCTCCAAAAGTGTTTTGATATAAAGTACTCAACCTCTGTAGACTGTCAGCTGGGATAAAAACTAACTTTGCACCTACAAAAATATCAAAAGTCATTCAGGAAGTACACTAATTCAATTAAATGCACTAGAATTTTTTCAAATGCATGTCTTGTGTCAGTTTTTTACTTGTTTATAATTAGGTCTAACATGTTATCAAAATGACAATAAACACCTTGAGATTAAAACATACACTTTACTTCGTAGATATAGATCTTAAAACTTCATGTCAATTTGAAAGATGAACGTCCAACATTATTTTACATGGAACTGTTTTCTCGAGAAATAACGGTATGCCAATTGGTTTTAAAAAAGTTGTTCTCAGCATTTAAATTATAAATAGTTATAAAAATCCACAACATCATCCATTTATAATACACCTTACCTTGAGAACAAGGCCTATCGACAGCATATCGGTTGCACTCGTAGTTTCTTGTCTTGTTTGAGCACGTGTAGCACGTTAAGTCTGAAAGTAAAACAGATATATTTAAAATAAATTATTTTAACATATATATATATATCATATCGAGAAAAATAAAACTCATAAGGTGTTTGAAATTATTTTTATTCACTGAATTGTTTAGTAGTTACACTGAATCAGCCACTCGAAAATGAAACGTGTTTTCTGTTATTTTCTTAAATTGTTAACAGACTGTGCTTACGTTTACGGTACACAATTATGCGAAGTTTTCAAGTTATGGTCAACCACCTTTAAAAGCAGATGATCAAACTGTAATTGTTTGTGTCAAAAACACTTCGTAGTGGGATTAAATTTCTGCTCTCTATATATATATTTAATACACGCCCTTGACGTAGTGCCAAAAGGTGACAAAAATAATATGATTGAGCTCTGAAAAATATAAATGTTTTCCAACATATAATCACAACATTTATTTATCACATTTCTATTTGCCTTCTTTCTATTTGTTTGTATATAGGTATTGAAATAAAAATTATACATTTTAACGTTACCTTGTGAAACGCTTCCCGTGTAACGCACTAAAGCAGTTAAATAGGTAAACCACCAGAGAAAGGGGACGAACTTTAGCATCTTCTAGCTCTCTGCTACACTGGGAGGCATATAAAAATCAGTGGTAGAGACTCGTTCCAGAATTCATTTTCACCTCATCTACAAGACTAATTTTTTCTTTCAAACGCCAAGTACCTGTGTAAAGCAGCAAATAGTTTTATTACTGTATAGTTTAAAATGTGTTATTGCAGATAATGAGTAGTGGTTTTCAAATTTTATTTGTCGTGATTTACAGTCTGTATGTTAAAGAGAAAAAGGGAAAGATGAAGTTGCCCCCGTGTTCTGTATTTGAAGCTAACACATCCACTGTTGAAGTTCTGCTCTTTCGATAATGTAGTTTCTAAATTACATTTACCTAATTTATTTGAATTAATAGTATTAGCTTCGAATGTAAATAATAAGACAGTTATATATTGCAGAACGGAACACCCGTACACTTACATATAATATATATATATATACTATATACATTCTATTTTACATTACGCTATACTTTATATACCTATATAAATACATTTGCATTTCAGATCAATTTTTATTACATTGCTTCAGGAAGCAGATGATCAGTTTCAACCATAACTAAAGTTTCATACTGGTTTCTGAAGTGATGCTATCTCCACACAGAACAAACTAAGAAAGTTTGTTCTCAACACCGCCCCTAGTTGACGATGTATGAAAAATGGCTTTTACTTTTAGAGGTTCCGGTACATTAATCATGAACGATAAACGAAGATTTGCCCACTCTCTACTGACTGAAGAGTAATGTAAACCTATTCATTACTCTTCTTTCTATTTTGACACATTCGGGGTTTTTGATATCGGTTTCTTTATCGAATTTTATATTGAGAGCTATTTCTTGCTAGAGTCCATCATACATTTATGTTACTGTTTATGGAAGTATTTGAAGTAATATTAAGCGTTTATTTAAACATACTGAGTGAAACGATGATAAAATGTTACACAGTCACATATATATATTTATTATATATACATATATGTATTTATTATATATACATATATATTTATTATATATATGCATATATGTATTTCTTATATATACATATATATATTTATTATATATATGCATATATGTATTTATTATATATACATATATATTTATTATATATATATATATATATATATAGTTTTTGTTCACCGATGTGAACTATATATATATTAACATTTTCCCTACCATACTAAGATAGTAAGATAGTAAGTCTGAACTAAGATAAATACGAAAAGAAGTGACAATTGTGAATAAAACATTAGGAGTTGTAGTTGTTGCTGTTTTCTGAGTGAAGAGCTACTCATTGGGTTATTTGTACTCTGTCCACCACTGGAATCGAATCACAGATTTTAGCTTTGCAAGTCCGTAAACTTACTGCTGACTCACCAGGGGACAACACTAGAAAAAATATACTATATGAAAATCGACATAACACAATATACTAGAATACAATAGAATTTATGCACATGTTAACCATACAGCGTTAACAGAAGTTAAGGTTATTGGGTTATTGTGAATTTCGCGCAGAGATAGTTGAGAGCTATCTGCGCCTGGTTAAGACAAGTGTGGACTGTGTACGAGTTTGCGAATAAGATATGTGCATTTAACGTTTCTGCAACAAGATTTGAATAAACAACTTGCGTTATAAACACTTAATAAAAGCCTAAAGCGTGATCTTTGTGTACTTAAGTGACTGCATACAGAAAGAAAGCATACCTGGATTGATCAATTCACATATCTTACCAAGTTTTAGGCTTATTTTACGGATTGATATTACACTTTTATTGCATTTTTCTTTGTTTATTAGAAATAAATGTGACTTTGTTGAAAAATGGTCATTAAAGAAGGAAATATTTGGACTCATTTTATCTGTAAACCTTTTCAAACTTTCTTACTAAAAGCATTTATTTTCAATTTTACGTATGAAATATCTGAAAATCTGTAGACCGGTATGAAATATTTAAAAACCTATTTCACCAAGTTCGACATATCTGTTTTAGCTAAAAGGCTTTGTCTTATACGTTTAGTTGATCCCAATACCTTTCAGGGGAGTTTTGCCAAACTTCTTTACCTTCTAGAAAGCCATTCATAATTATTAGACAAAGCAGATTAAGGCCAAGTAATGCAAAGGTTTAAAAAGTTTGGGAACTAAGCTTTGCAAAGTATCCTTGTCAAATCTCCTCGTTATCCTATACGTTGCGTGGTAAATTAAACCCCGGTATTAGTGTGATATATGATCCACTGTTTCTAAGCCTATATATTGTGTGAGGGTTATATCCAATATCAAACAGTGTAACAAGGAATGATGATTATAGCTTAAAATACGATGTGTTACCAAGAAAGTAAAGAGAAAAGGTAATTTCAAGCTCAATTTTGTTATTATATTACTTTAAAACTGTCCTCAACAAACAACTACATATTTATAATAATAAAATTTGTTTACTTGTTGTTCCAATAGCCTTTGTTTCAAACCTCAGTTGAGGCCTGAAATCAATGCTACTTTAGTTTTTTTTTTTTTTTTATAAAACGAGAAAGTTTGATCAGATACAGGTATAGTTACTTTTTCTCAAAGAAATTGCATCTTGTTATGTAAAAGAAAGTAATTTTTTTTACTGCTTTTGTTTTCGTTTATTAGTGATTTATAAACTAAAGCAATTTCTAAACATATCTGATATATAGATGCCTTGTCTTATTACAAAATGGTTTCAACGTTGATTTTCATCTATGTCCTGTCAGTTACTACCGCAACTTTATTAAGTAGAAAAAAAAAGTTAATATATAAACAGCAGGCACATAAAATTCCTGTTGTTGCTAAGCAATCTGATCCAAGTATACCTTGTATTTCACAGTAAACTCTGGAAATATAACCCATATAATCTGTATAATGTAGATCATCTTACAATGTTTTGTTATTGTTGTTTTCTTTACTTAGATAAACTGTGCAAATGTAAGTAGTATCAGTAAATTATCTGACAGTTTATCAATGGTTCTCTCAGTTTAACATTAAAGCAATATATATAAAAATATAGATATGGCAGCAAAACTTACAATGTATCAATGGTTTATCGATCTAACTAGTCTTCTATAAAGTATAGATGGCAGTAGAGTACATACGATGGCTTATTTATTCTAACACGTATGAAAGAATGGAAGTATTGCAGTGTAACTTACATCGTATCAATGACAAGTGTAACCATGATAAATGAAATACTCCAAAATCTTTTGTGAATTTTGCCTGAATCTACCGTTTATTACGGTACTAGCCAAGATGCCCCGACAATGCTGGGCTTATAAAAGTAATGCTATAAATAGGGGCGTTGGCTGCCCCTTTCATTATTTAGTTCGCCCTATGCAAGGGTAGTGCTATGCGAGAAATTAAACGTCACTTTTGTTTGACGTCAGCTTCGTGTAATTTGCTGTGACCGCCTCACTCAGTTGAGCTCTCATTTGCAGCATTAGGGCAGTAAAATTGAAATGCCTGCCAAATTCAACCGTTCGTCCGGTTGCCCATTTATTTAAACTCAGTCTTTGGAGGGGAAGGAGGGAAACTTAGTTCCCCTAACACATTTCACCGAAATTGGTTCAGCCCATTATTCACTAACAGAAACACAAATCTGTTTGTATATATATATATCTGCTTCTTAATAAGACAATGAGTCGTTAGTTATTATTTTTTTATATATATATTCTGATTTTTCATATTATACAACAGTATAATCCAACAAATATACGACCAGTATATATTTTTTTTTTCAAATTGAAAGCACTTTATGAAAGAAGAAGAGGTGGTAGTTAACGAAAATTTTATATTGAAAACTTTAGCCTGCGTTAATGTGACACTACGAAACTAATCAAGTTCGTCAACGTAAATGCAACGTTGATTTCGTTACGAGATAAAAAAAAAGGTATCATTTTATTTCATGGACGTAAAAAAAAAAAACATTAAACATAGAATCAGTTGAAAAGCTCTTAATTGCCACTAGACAGCATTTCGTAATGAATAAATAAAAATGTTTATTTGTTGTAGAGTCAAAAGGCGTGGTTGTAGTTAAGCGCGAAACTACACAGAGGGTTGCCTGTGCTATGTCCACCATGAGTATCTTAACCCGATTCTCAGCGTCATAAGCCTGCAGACTTGCCGCTGTGGTGCAATTAAAGACGAGTGCAGCAAATTTAATTTTTTAAAGTCTAAACAAGATTAATTATATAATAGTATTACATTTTTTAATTTGAATTTATCCGAGATTAGATTGTTTAGCGCCCCCTACTCAGAAATGTCTAGTACATGAATAATAACTATTATTCAAACATAAGCAACAGCTCGCTGAAGGTACAAGTAGAACAGAAGTTTGCCAATTAATGACTTTTTTATTATCATTTATAGTTATTAATTCGCCCAAAAGACTTAAATAATTGATTGTTACTAATTTGCATGAAATCACGGATATGCGTGATGAATTTTTAATTCTATTTTTTATCAAGGCACTTTTAATTTTGCATAAAACTCTATAACTGGAAAAGTATCTAATTATTTTATACCAGCTATAACTGAAATCTATATGTCATTTTAGAAGTTACAGGAAATATACGACTAAACTCTTGAAGCACTCCCCTTCCCAGTGGCACAGCGACATGTCGGGGGATTCGCGTCTCTAGAAACGGAGTTTCTATATCCGTGGCATAGAACAGATAGCCCGTTGTGCAACTTTGTGCTTAATTATAAACATATTATTGAATTAAAGTTGTATAAGGAATTTAGGTTGTAATAAAATTTGCTTTGGTTTAAAGCTTCATATGTTACGATAGAAAAAATGTGAACAGGGTATATTTTAATATTATACTGATAAATGTTTATGTGTTTTATGTTTCAATACGATTATTAAGATCAACAAAAATAACTCCGTACTTCCTTTGTTAATGAATTAGAATTAAATAATTTTTTTTCTCTTTAAGATACTTTATTCAGGAATTTGAATATAGTTTGTTGACGTTATCTCGAATAATTTTGTCTTTCTGACTCTTGTAAAGAAGTATATATTTTAATGTTCGTGACTTTATGAGTTATATATAAAGAACATGAACAACACTACTCTGAACGATATAGAGTTCAGTAACTATATGAATAATC